TCAGGGCGTCAAATGTCTCAGTACTCGGTCAGTTGTGTGCCTAGTTATTGCACTTTCTGACTGTATATAGTATCCAGTTACAGTGATGGAGAGTTACTCTTAACTCGTATCCATAATTATGCCCTTTTTTCTACATTTAGTTATGGCTCAACACCCGAGTTTCAAATTTGCATATTTTCTTTTTCTTTTTTTTGCGTATCAATCACGGCAACGATGCATTCAAGCACTGTCTAACCAGAAGTCCAAGCCAAACAAATTCTCTGAACTCTGCTGTGACGCGTGCCTCCTCCAGATTTGAGAGCCCGTCCCCACGTAGTGTTGTGAAAGACTGTTCGTGCACGTGCGCTACCAAGAGGATGTACCGTATTTCCCCGATTATAAGTCGCACCTTTTTACATAAAGAACAGGGTAGAAAGGGGGGGGGGGGTGCGAATTACAAACGAGCATGACTTACTACTGAAGTGAATATATGGAAAAAAATAAGGCTCAAACCTGAAAATGGGGGTGCGACTTATAATCGGGAAAAGACGGTAAGCCCAAGAGTGTGCAACTCTGCATTACAGAGTCTGGCGCGGCGCGCTGCCTGCAGCACGGAGCCACGAGCTGTGAGCTATGGCATCATTATTGACCTGCTATGGTTTCCTGTTTCCAAATGCCGTTCACGCAGGCGTGAACACCAATGCTGAAACAAAAGAAATCACAGAATCATGAATTTCACTGCAAAAAAGCTGTCAAGAGTTAGGAAACTAGGCCAAACACATTGATACGGAGACAGAGCATACTGAAATACCGTAAAAGCCCGTGCATAGGCGCCGGGCGTATACAAGGGCACGGGTATTATTTTGGAACCGGGCGTATACTTGGAATAGGGATAGCAGTAAGTATTGGGTACCAGACCCTGTGCATGTACGTGTACTGGTGTTGCCGGCATACCTGGGCGTATACATGGGCATGGGCGCTAGTTTGAAACAAAAGCGTTGACTTCCCCTGACTGGGCGTGTACACGAAGGGCGGACGTAATGGACGTAATTTCGAGTGGGCGTATAAAGGGGCGTCTACGGTATAATCCACAATTCTCGGAGACTTCGGATGGGTGTGTACTTGATGCGTCGCGCACAGGCACTTCCTTTGAATGTATCGTAGAGCGCCTGGAATCCTTTTAAAGGCTAAACCGCAGGAAATCTCAATCCAAGCAGCTTGATCGTCATTTCACTACCTAAGGGGCCATCCGTAAATACCGATATTTATTTAGATACAAAAACTAGTCGTTTCTCTTCAACCCCCCTCCCCCCCCCCCCCTCCCTCCCTAAGAAACGAACACATACAAGCGATGCATAGTATCGATATTTTTTCTTTTCGTTTCTGGACGTGCCCACACATACAAACTGTGCATCGATATTTTTCGAGAAACGAACAGGCGCTCAACCCCCTCCCCCCCCCCCCCCCCTAAACGACTAGTTTTCGTTTCTAAATAAATATCTATATTTACGGATGGCCCCTAATGGAGATAGTGTGCTGCGCACAGCAGATATAGCACGGAGACCAGAGTTGCACACTCTTGGGGCTAGGTACTCTTGGCGGTACTGATAATGAAGTGCATTGATGTACAATTGCGCGGACCGACCCCAGTTCAGATGAATGTCGAGCAGTGTGTCCGTCTCTCTGTCTCTGTTGTCCGCCTGTTGGAACCTGGCTGCTTTTGTCTCCCAGTCTCCCGACTGTTTGCATCTGAATCCCATATAACTGTCTCTGCCCCCCCCCCCCCCTCCTCCTGCCATACATGACTACAAACCACATTTCCCCTCCCCTGGCCCTGTTACCTCAGTGTAGAGGTGTTGCGAAAGACGACGCCATAGTGATGAGAATTCCGGAATCGCTTACGGGTGCCAAGTACTAGTACACAGCGGAACCGCTCATGGACGCTATTAAGTGCATGACCTGTGCATGACGGTGAGTCGCTTGTGTATCGCTTTCATGCGCTGTGCCGCGACCTGGCCATCCTTGCCATCACAACTAATGATGCAATCGCATACGGTAAACCACACCTAAAACATACCTACGGTACAGATTGGGGATGACGGCCAGCACCGCGTGGATCTCCGTAGAGCCGCAAACCGCGCAGATGTTCTTCCTCGGCTCGTCGCTGTGCGTGCGTAGGCAATTCGGAACCGGAGTGTCGAACTTCAGCTTCAGGGTCACACAACTATCCGGGGACTCAGATACAATTTCTATAGACAGATTCACATCACAACAGAATGAAGTCAGTTGCAAGTTTGCTTACACGGAGCCAAACTAATTCCAACGAGCAAAGCAATACAATAAAACTCTGTCTTTGGCAACCAGTGTCTTAATATTGGGAGAGAGAGAGAGAGAGAGAGAGAGAGAGAGAGAGAGAGAGAGAGAGAGAGAGAGAGAGAGAGAGAGAGAGAGAGAGAGAGAGAGAGAGAGCAGGAGACAACCCACCGGCTAGCTTTTTGTTCAGGTACCACTTAGACCTGGACTCGTCTACCATGGCCAAGAAGTGACCGTTCCGATCCACGAGGCGACAGTTGCTGTACATCGGCTTCTTCCTGCGCTGCTGTTGCTCCATGGACGCACACACTGCGTCAACCTCCTTGCCAAGCTCACGCTTCGTCTGCGCCGGCGGTTTGGAACCATCAGCAGTCGCTGCGCCTGACTTAGCGCGCTGGTCCTCCGCAGACAGCTCCTCGCTCAGGCGCACTGCCTCGTCTGGACTGATTGGCTCACTCATGCTCTGCAGCGCATTCAGAATACAATTCATAACACAGACATAGAGGTTAGAAAGAAGGGGTAGAGGAAGGGAGGGAGGGACAGAGAGAATTCGCTTTCTTGTTATTGGGTTCTATGCCCGTTTGAATTTGCGAATCAAAATAAAATAAAATAAAAGAGAGAGAGAGAGAGAGAGAGAGAGAGAGAGAGAGAGAGAGAGAGAGAGAGAGAGAGAGAGAGAGAGAGAGAGGAGAGAGGAGGGGGGGAGGGAGAGGGAGGGAGGGAGGGAGAGAGATAGAGGGAGGGAGGGAGAGAGGAGAGAGAAGAGAGAGAGAGAGAGAGAGAGAGAGAGGAGAGAGAGAGAGAGAGAGAGAGAGAGAGAGAGAGAGAGAGAGAGAGAGAGAGAGAGGTAGATAGAGAGATAGAGAGATAGAAAAGAGAGAGAGAAGTAATTGCCGGAGTATGACGAGCCCTCGAGTATAATGTACCCCTTTTTTAACCAACATTTCGACCATTCAAGGGGCATTGAGAGTAAAATGTGCAGCCTAATTTTGAGAATACATTTCTCAATACGCGCCTCTCTCCACTCCCCCTGGAACATGGTAAAGAATGATGCAGCGCAAGTCAAGGCAGCTTGCGTGCAGAGACTGTCACAAGCGACAGCACACTTACAACAGCCTGATTGCGACTGAACGACACCAGCTGCTTGCTGTCGGAGAACTGCTTGAAGAGTCGCACCAGCTGCACCGCCGTCAGCCCCGCGCCGTCCAGGGAGCCCTTCATCTTGTTGAAGATGTCCTCCGCAATGGTAGCGTCGCGCGCAGCGTAACTGACCTGCACGGAACAGAAGAACAAACAAGGCCGATCAAGGCAGCTCCAAGCAGAGAAATGCCCAATGCTGCTAACTGATAATTGATGAAATGCGTGAAACTTGAAGTCACAGCTACACAGCCTTTAACCTCCACTGTACATGTACGTATAACATCAGAACATGTACTCGGTCCGCGTCATCAATATTGTCGCTTATCTTTCGACAACTTGAACTTAGACTTTGGACAACAACACGTGCACTTGAGGTGATAAAACTTGGCACGATGGAAGGTAAGGTATACAATGACAACTACTGAAGTAGCTATGAGGAACTTATTGTCCAAGGAAGGGTTTATACTTATTTTTCAAGTAGTGAATATTAGAGAACATGCCGGGTCATGTGGGTAGGCCATACAAACAGCGCTGGGCCGCGCAGTGCCAAAACTCAGTACGTACCCTCAACCGTCAACGTGTATACGCACACATATGTACATACGTATCCGTTGTCTGATGATTGCCTAGCGGCATGAAACTCAGAGTTACAACCAACCTGAACGTCCTCCGCTGAGTCTGCTATGCATGTACATACGTACGTACACACAATCTCTCTCTCTCTCTCTCTCTCTCTCTCTCTCTCTCTCACACACACACACACATGCACACACACACACACACACACACACACATACACACACACACACACACACACACACACACCACACCACACACACCCTGTCCTGTCCTGTAGAGCCACTACCACTAGGGTCACATGGGCCCCGGAGGAGCAGCAGAGAGAGAGAAAGAGCACGCCACCCGATGGCACTCCAGATGCGAGACTAGTCGGAACCGGCGAGAGCAGATCCAGATATGCGGGCACTTGTCCCGTTCTCTGGCCGTTGGACGGTGGCAGTGCGTTGAACAGCGATGGCGGTTGCGTCCCTGGGTTGAGCGGAAACAACGATTGCAGATGTCACAGTCAGCATTGCAGCAAGTCCGAGCGGTAGTGTTATCGGTGACAACAGCAGCTGGTTCGGTCGGTACTGGGCACGAGGTGGAAGCGGAGCAACGATGCATAGCCAAGCCTCCGCGGCTCCGGAACCAACGATGACACCGAGGGCACTGACATGCACCTCTCTGCTCCGACACCCCCCCCCCCCCCCCCCACACACACACCCACACATATCCACACCCACACGTACTGGAGGGGGGGGGGGGGGCGCGAGGCAGCCACGCAGCCTAGACCGTTTTTATTTTCATGTATTACAGTCTATGCACAGTGGAGTCACCGTGTGCACATTGGTATGCTGTGCTTAGCCTTCTAGCCTGTCGGTTCTTCGGCACTCCGTTCCTCGGCGCCTTATGCCTGGTCCACACGGCGCCGATTTTTCTATGAATCGTACGAAAAATCCTCAAGATCGGCGCGAAACTGGCCCGGTGTGGACGGTGTTGTCGCACGCGTTTCCGACAAATTTGTGTGTGCGCATAGGTAGTCAGACCCAGTCGGCCGATTTCATGTCGGAGTCGGTGTCGAAGCATCGGCGGAAAAATCGGCCTAGCATTGTTACAGTGCTGTACATGACATCGTGTACAGTACTGTCGGTCGCCGAAGAACTGGGCCATGAGGGGCCAGCCTCCTAGCCTAGACCGTTCTTATTTCCATGTATTATAGCCTATGGGCAGTTGAGTCCTCGTGTATACTTTGATATGCTGTGCTTGACGAAATTCTAGCCTGGTCGTTCTTCGGCGCTCCGTTCTTCGGCGCCCGACAGTACCGTAGGTCATGTCATTCACTGACGCAGAGCACAGCACAACGGTAGCACCGACCTGTCCATCGGAGAGAGTAGTTCGTCCCCAGTCGCTGACTTGGTAGGTCTTGGACAGGCGGGCCTCCGCAAACTGGCCGGCGAGCATGCGCAACGACATGCCGTGAATAGTCGTCTGACAGCACACGCTGCAGGCCGACAGGTGAACGCACGCACATAAACACACAGACACGCACGCACGCACGCACACACACGCACACACACACACACACGCACCAAAAATAAAATGCTTTCACAGCAACTTGAACATCCACACAATAATACATCATCGACAAGACTCGAAACTTACAGCAGTTGAAACCTGATAACCAAACCACACAGCTGTTGTGGTCCCGTTACACATATCCACAAGTAGATAGTACTCTCATGAGGCGATTGTACCCATGTACCCGATCCGTTCTTGGATCGGTTATCCCTACACATTCCCATACTGTGTACATCATATGCATCCCGGTAGGTCATCTTTTTCTTTCCTTGTTCTATGTACATACGTGTACGCTCGTACCTCGGGAATCAGGACCCCGAAGTCACGGGTATTTGGGCGCGTTTCAGTGAAAATATTACTACTGTTTTGTAACTTTGTTTGTGGAAATAGTGACATCACACGCCATATCTATGGCCTTTGCCCAACAAAATGTACGCGGTTCTCAACTACGGACATGTCAAAGTTACGGGCAGTGTTCGGTCCCGGACCGCTCGGATAAACGAGGTATGAGTGTAAGGCTCAGTCGTTGTCTGCAGCTGTACAGCGTAGTTTTGTTGTTGATGTTGAACAAACGCAAACGTTACAGCAGCGAGAGCAGAACTAGATGTTGCGTGGTCAAGAAGAAGCCTTTATTCCCCATCCACAGCAGTGTATAAAGTAAGGACATGAAAGGTGTGTGTGTGTGTGTGTGTGTGTGTGTGTGTGTGTGTGTGTGTGTGTGTGTGTGTGTGTGTGTGTGTGTGTGTGTGTGTGTGTGTGTGTGTGTGTGTGTGTGTGCGTGCATAATGAGGGCACGTGCGTACGGGATGTGCTCACCGTGCAGACTACTGTACTACTACAACACTTGACGCCGGATACAGTTTAAAACGCTTCCTACTACAAGTACATGTATTCTGAGGAGGACATGGATTGGCTGCCGAATAGTAGTCCACTAGAGTTGGACAGGTGCACGCGCAGGTAGACTTACGAGACGACGTGTGCAAGGTTGCGCAGGTCCACACAGCCGGCCACTACCTGCTGGTGCTGTTTGAGGATTGCCTGGCCATCCTCCACAACGCCCACGCCCAGCTTCACTAGACTGGACAACACAGAAAAAATAAACGCAAAAAACACGGTTTGCGTGAGACTCGGCCGGGGGCAGAGTTTTCCGCATCCGTGGGAACGCCGCCACCTCCAAGGAGTATGTAATCAAGCACACTCAGGAGGTCATGATGGCTGAATCTTGCTCGAGCCTGCAGCCCAAGGGCCATAGGTCCGAGGGCTGCAGGCAAGGGCAAGATTCAGCCAACATGACACAGACAGAGCGTGCTTGATTTGATTTCTTACAGCACGAAGCAACATATTTAGGGAAGGTCAAAGGTCGAAAGGTCGAATTATTCCCGAAAAGACGTCAACGGTCCTGAAATTCACGAGATGACGTCAAACGGTCCTGAACTTCCAGAAACGACGTCAAACGGTCCTGATGGCCTGATTATGCCCGGGGCAGGAAGACCGCCTATTGGCCATGGCCCCGGCAACGATCACGTGTCATGTAAGAATCAAGCCTTAGGAGCTGCAGCTGCACCTTGATCCTTGAAGAAACACAAAATTTGCTACAAAAATCAAATGCACAATAGGACAGTGACAGTCGGTTCAAATATTAGAGAGGTTCTGGGGTACGATTTTCCGTGCCAAAATCCGTATGGGCTCTACGGATTTTTTCGAGGCGTGCTCCGTACGATTTTTCGGCACGGAGAATCCGTGTGGACTGGCTTTCATACGAACCATGTTTCGTATGGAGATTTTGCGTCATCGGGTGCAGAACGATTTTTCGCGTACAAATTTGGTACAAGAAACATGGATTTTCGGCGGGAAGTTTTGATTTCGGTACACATTTTCAAAATATAAAGGCATAGCGCGGGAATGCGACGTGTTAGCGATCGTAACCTAGGCAATGACGGCAAACACATAAGTTCCGTACTCCGGAGCATTTCACTGCTCGGAAACGACGTATAAAAAATCCGCAGCGCCTCTACGGATTTTGGCGCGAAAAATCGTACTCCGGAACCTCTCTATTGCAGTTCAGGCACAGAGCAAGGGTAACAAGGCAATCCTCATACAACTGAAAATGTGCTACGTTTACCTGAAACTAAGCTACAGGGCGGAAATCCCCGTATTTCTCAAGGAAATGAAGTGCGCAGAAACATGTATAGTAATAATATTTAAAAAAAAATGATAATCTATAGCCATCCAGTAGAGTGCCGATTATCCCCAACCCTCGGGGCGCGGGGTTGTCTCCAGGGTGTTTGGATGAGGAGTATGTTCGGATAAGGACACACATCAATCTAAACCATGCACATTCCCATCTGTTTTCTTCATTTCTCATTCTCTTCGGCAGTACCACAGGAATTAGACACGCTTCAGCTCTTCAAAACGACAACATTGGGACAAAATCTGATGCCAACATGTTGCCATACACCCCATGCGAACCATTCTCTTGCGCTTTGGGTGAGGAAAATCTGCAAAACTCATTCTCGTCCCTTGAATTCGGTGCATACAGGCATTTCGGATAATTGACCGTTCGGACAGTTGACATTCGGATAATCGGCAGTCAACTGTACACAATCTCCAAGCAGCTAGCTGTTTCGACTTGGTTTACAAGTCTCATCAGCAGAGCTAGGTGGAGCCATCACTGCGCTACAAGAAACACAACAGTTTGACTCCTCTTAGCTCACCCCTTGCTCCGGAGTAGGCGCTTGAAGTTCTCCGGGAACTTGCAGAGTGCCCAGCTGCGGTACAAGATGGCACAGTCGCCCATTGAAAGCTGGATAAGTACAATGTAGCGGCCTTCGGTGTCCAGTCCGCAAACACAGGCACGATACTTGCCATCACCTGGTAAGACATGACATCAACAGCAGATGATATTGATTGTCAACAGTGAGGAAGAGAGAGGAAGAGAGAGAGAGAGAGAGAGAGAGAGAGAGAGAGAGAGAGAGAGAGAGAGAGAGAGAGAGAGAGAGAGAGAGAGAGAGAGAGAGAAGAGAGAGAGAGAAAGAGAGAGAGAGAGCAGGTTGGAACACACGAGAAGCAGAGTGTACTCGCATAATCTCCGGAACAGCCCATAACGAAGAGACCAGTGCAGATTTTGAAAAATCTTCAGAGACCATTAAAAAAATGCATTTGCCAAAGGCAACCCCCGTACGTGCCTTATCGACATCCAGCGTAACTATTTGCTGAAACTGCATTTATCGTGTGCATACTAACCATCCAAGCCCGACATCAGTGGCTCCTCCGCCATGTCCAACACCTTCAAGATGTCTTCAGACGTGACATCCTCTGCAGAAGAGAAAAGGCCATATACGGGAAGGCTCATTGTCATTACGAAGGACGAGCATGAGGCGTTAGCTGCCGGCGAGCCACACAGTGCAAAGCCAAAAGCACGCACTGACCTTTATCGCGAACTTCTGGTGGGCAAAACGGAAGGAGCCTAGGCAGAAAGTGCTTGTCAATCGCTGCCTCCAAGTCCTTGGCGTTGTTTGTTAGGATTGTCTGCAGGCCAGGCTTCTCGTAGGGAGGAAGATGCTGAAGATCAGGAGCAACCTTTCCAGCCTGTCCCATCAAAAAACACACACACACACACACAAGTACACACACACACACACACACAAACATACACACACACACACACACACACACACACACACACAAACATACACACACACGTGCACGGACACACACACGTACACACACACACACACACACACACACACGCACGCACGCACACACACACACGCACACACACGCAGACACGCACACACACGCAGACACACACACACACACACACACACACACGGTTTTTAATCTCCAGTGCATGGTATTTTCCAGGTCCCTGCCGCACTCCAGGACCACTGGCAGAGACCAAAATTATAGTAATTTTGCGATGGAAATGAAAACAAATCCCTACATGATCAGTAGCACTTGTGTCATGGAGGCACCATCAAACCTTCCGCGTCCCAGCAAAACTTTAGTGAGTGTGAACATCGCCAAGGATACCTGTACGTACTGTAGTTTCCAGCAAGAGTACATGAAGACCAGAGTGTGCAGCTCGGATGGGTGGCTGTCACGGCGGAATTCCGTGATTACATCATTTTAGTGATGTAGTGCGTACAAGCAGGATTCAAGCAGGTCTTTTTCTGCACAACTGCAGCTCAGTTGTACGCACTACGCGATTTCCCGCCTCAGATCTGGGCCAAATATGATGTAATCACGGATTTCGCCGTGACAGACACCCATAGCAGAAAAGGCCCCAAGCTGCACACTCTAGTTTTCATGTACTCTTGTTTCCAGGGTATACGCCGCACTGCAGTATAAGTTGCACAGTGAGAGTATAAGCCACAGACAGATATTTTGTCACGAAATACAGACATTTACCCTATGCATCGTCGTGCGGCCCATACTCCGGCAAATACGGCGAGTTGAGCCCGTTCATTCCGACTGCTTGCTATCCACCCCAGCCTGTCCAGGTCACCGCACCCTGTGCCAACCCTGTATGACAACTTCCCCGTGTCTAACCCCCCAAGAAGAAGTGAACACTGTAGTAGTCATACTGGCCAAAGGTGAAAATAAAAAATAAAATAAAAAAAGCGTAATGAACGTCTTCTTACCTTGAACGTAACTTTTCCGGATGGCATTTTACCTATACTTTTGCTTGCCCAGTTCTTCTTCACCGTGGGCAGAACCATTTGTGACACACTCTCGCGGAACTCGGTCTCCACGCCTTGGGCAATGTCGTTAATGATCTTGCGGTTCTGCTCCATCCGGCTTTCTACGCTCGCCAACCCCTCTTCGTCCAGCGAGTTCATAGTTGACTGCGAGGAAGCCCTTGCAAACTGCAATGCAGCGCTTGTACTGCCGCTGGAGCAGACGGTGTTCTCCCGCCGTCGGCGCGAGTGATCGCGCCGCGCCCCGCACCCATAACCCCGTCTTGCCACCGTTGCTGCCGTGGCAACTGGTTTCCTGGGCATCGTCGACGTCACCTTGGCGACGAGGTGGTGGCAGTAGCGCTGGTAGCAGGAGACAATAGACATCTGCGGGGACGGGCACGGATGGGTCAGAGATGCACCTAGGAGAATTCAGAACGAAAGAATAACACTGCTTTTACACTGTTTTCACACCTTTGCGACAATAGACACCAAGAGTACATAACCCCCCAAGAGTGTGCAACTCGACTATGGGTGCTGTCCCGAGAGAATTTCAAGTTGACGTCATTTTTATGATGCACTGCGCACTGTACATGGATTATCAGACGAATCCGGAGCGTGTCGTGGACCGAAGCCCATCTGATCCTGTACAAATTATTGCAGAGAAAAACGTGCGATGCGTTGACACCCGCACGCATGTTGTAAATCACTGGTGCAAGGAGCATTGCATCATAAATAATGACGTCATCTTGAAATTCTGTCGGGACAGCAGGGTATGTTGGAGTTGCACACTCTTGGGGGTATGTACTCTTGTAGACACCCTTTGAATAGCAACAAATAAAGTTATGTAACGGTATTAACGTAAGGGGAAAGATACCGAGATTTGGGTTCGACCGTTAGCAAGAAGCACTCTAGTGTTAGTGCGCTGTTGCCATGTGTATAGCTCATATTTCACGCGCTACAACCATTTATGGCGCTATATAGAGGTTATGCGATACACGTCTTATAGTATGTTTGCCACCCCAAATTATTCTATATAAGGGGTTTCTGTACCCGCTTTGGGCATTTTGCCACCCCAACTGGCTCCTATATATGGTGGATTTGACGTTATCGCATAACCTATATACGCGATACAAGGTGAAATGGGTACGCCCTACGCAATATTTGGCGAAAACGAGTACCGTTGGTCACAACGATACATCAGCACCCGTAACGTTTTTACGCTGCAGCTTCAACGCTATTTGGTACATCAAGGTACGAGTACCGTAAAAAAAATAGCGTTACCGTGGTTTGCTAAGGGTGTCTAATGCAATCACTCTTGCACCCTTGCAGATACAGTGGAACCTGTCAAAGACGACCGCTCATAGGACCTTCAAAGCGTGGTCTCTGTTACCAGGTGGTCTCCTTATACAGGGTCAATTGACTGGAAATAGCATCACTTGGCCCTGGTTTCAGTGGTCTTCAAGGACAGGTGGTCGCCTTATCCGAGTGGTCACTTTGACAGGTCTTACTGTATTGTAGTTTTTGTAACTTTCAATCATGACATTGTAGCTTTGCTTGAGCACATACCATTATTATAGCAATCAGCAGAATCAGCGAAGCGGACATTGGACGTAGTGATCAACAAGAAAAAACAGTCATTACAGTCAGTATTGTGCTAAGTGAATTGCTGCATGTTCTGACTCTTCAGTATCTTGCTTATTAGTGTTAGCGTTGGACAAGCGACAGATAACGTGTCAACTATTATAGCGATATAAAAATGCGCTCTCACGTCACAAACATTGCAACCAAAGCACTTCGTGAAGTAGGTTTTGTGTCCAAAACGCTTCGGTCGCAATGATTGCGACATGAGTGCAGACTTTATATTGTTCATCGCCATTAAAATTCGTGCCCAACGAAAATCCGACCCATGAGTCAAAAGTAGGGCTGCGTTTTCACTTCATTTACATCATGCACGGTGGGAAAAAAACCATCCGAGGGAAACAATGCGCCTTGGCGCTGCTTTCGGCACGTGAGTCAGATTTCATTGGCCACAACTGTACTTATTATTTATTGTAACATGGGAAATTGTGGGCACAAGTTATGCGATCGAGTCCACCAAGCAAACCAGATTTTGAACAGTCAGATGTGCACAATCTAGCACAAACACTGACAGGGAGTACTGAGACGTTCCACGGCGTGAAAGTCAGCTTGAGCACTGCCCGATAGCGCTAACCAACGGCCTTTCAACTTGGAAGGTTCATGGATATTAGTGATATTAGTGCTAATTCCAAAGATTCCCCATGTTACAAATTTTTCCTTGGCTCACCATCTGAACTATTTTATCATCAGTGCAAATAGCACTGAGTAGTTACACACCATGTATAAAAACCAACATTTGCTGCTGGGAAGAAAGATTCACTATTACTAAGACCCCATTGAGTGATGAAAAGTGTACATGGCTCAATATAACTGCACATTTGGACAGGCGCTATTGTCAAGTGCGAGTGGCAATGTCAGAAAGACGATTTTACTGCCGTGGACCTTGACAATTTTTTTGTAGCCTTTAATACAGGAGTGCATTGTGCACTTAGGGATGTGTTGAGTAATCGCTTTTCCCCGGAAATTTGGTTTTTTTTTATTATTGTCTCCGCCAACACAGGTAGTAGGAAGAGTACATGAAAACCAGAGTGCGCAGCTCGGGGCATTTTCTACTATGGGCGTCTGTCACGGCGGAATGGACCACTTGCCATTTGTACAGATCCACGAAATCCCGTAGACCCGGAAGGGTGTTGAATGTGCAGGACCCTGTTGTGTTTTCTGCTATTTCCACTAAGAAATGGGGCATGAAGGCATTTCATACGAAAACCTGTTTCTGACAAAGATCTAGCTAGTCATTAGTTCTAACCAAAGTGAAGAAGCTGGAAAAGCGATTGCTTGTCATTGAATTATGACGCGAAAATTGGTCAAATGCGCATGCATAGCAGACATTCAACACCCTTCCGGGTCTACGGGATTTCGTGGATCTGTACAAATGGCAAGTGGTCCATTCCGTGATAACATCATATCTGGCGCAGATATGAGGCGGGAAGTGGCGTAGTGCATACAACTGAGCTGCAGTTGTGCAGAAAGAGCTGCTTGAATCCTGCTTGCACGCACATCACTTAGATGATGTAATCACGGAATTCCGCCGTGACAGCAACCCATCCGAGCTGCACACTCTGGTTTTCATGTACTCTTGCTAGTACTCTAGTGGGTAGTGTTACCATGGAAACGCCGTGTCTCTTCGTATCCGCTTAGTTTCTACAGGGCGTGGCTCTTGCTGAATACCCACAAAGCTCAAGTTCCGTTGCGGAACGCTCCCATGGTAACACTGCCTGCTATAGTACCCATTTCTCTCTCTCTGTGTCTCTCTCTGTGTCTCTCTCTGTGTCTCTCTCTGTGTCTCTGCCTCTGTCTCTGCCTCTCTCTCTCTCTCATCTCTCTCTCTCTCTGTCTCTCTCTCTCTCTCTCTCTCTCTCTCTCTCTCTCTCTCTCTCTCTCTCTCTCTCTCTCTCTCTCTCTCTCTCTCTCTCTCTCTCTCTCTCTCTCTCTCTCTCTCTCTCTCTCTCTCTCTCTCTCTCTCTCTCTCTCTCTCTCTCTCTCTCTCTCTCTCTCTCTCTCTCTCTCTCTCTCTCTCTCTCTCTCTCTCTCTCTCTCTCTCTCTCTCTCTCTCTCTCATTCATGAATCTATTTCTCCGTTACACGTAACAACATCGATCACTGCATTTGCTTACTTCGTCTGAGTAAGAATGACATATCCCTGAAGAGTTAGTGGAGTACAATGTCCATTCTGCACTGCACAGCAGAAATCCTGCCACAAACAGCCAGTGGCACAACTGCAACACCCAGTTCTTAGTTGTACTTGCAATACGGACGACAACTGAAGCAAAGGGCGATGAAGTACTGTGTATGCTGTTCTTCCTCCCTAACTGTCCACTGAGCTCAACAAGACCTTCCGAGTGCTCTACATGCACTGTTTGCTTCCTAACCCTCTTATCTCGGAATCGAAAAAGCTGCAAAGGGAAAAGCATTCGACTGTCAAAAGCTACAAAAAATTGAAAATAATTTGAAGATTGAGATCTCAAGAAGCAATGACGCCATTTCCCGTTGTCTAGCCAACGACCACATGCACGTGCGGCCAACGCGGTTTTGGCCCGCGTGAGTGCAACGCAGACAGAAATGGAGAGAAAGGAAAGGTTCAAAGAGTTGGAGAGGATTTGTTTCATGTTTTAGTTAGAAAACTTACCCAATCATTATGTTCAGGGCAGGATGCCACAGAATGTTTGCTGCTGTGGCTGCCAGACAACCAGTGTGTTTGGGACCCGTGTTTCACACATCCAGATCTGCAGCACGCCATTGTTCGAACACTTCTCCTCAGTCATGCTGGAGCTGTGATGACACGATCGACGCTGAAGGATTCTTCTGTGGCTGCGAGAAGAACGTCGTGCTACCAGTGAATCCGAAGCGAGACTACTTTTCTATTCTCGGCTGGTGAGCACCATTGGTTTGCATTTTCTTCTGAGGAAATCCTAGAATCAAGAACGCCACACGAAATATTGCACAGTATAAATATTCTTTTATCCCAATCATGACTTTCGATCAGTTCTCTTCAGGAAACCGCAAGGCTATAAGGCTATAAATTATTGCAAAATGCCAAGATGAAAGTGTAGACGATCGTGCTATCATCTCTGAGCACACACGTTTAAATGAAGACGTTTTCACACCTTTGCAACAACTAAAGCTTTGTTCCTAAAGTCTGGTTCTCATTTGACTGGCACGACGATACGGGATGTAAGAGCCTGTCGGGAAGGCCTTAAGGCTGGGGCGAGCTGGTACGATCAGTACGACATTACAGGAATAGCTGTTGCAATGTTCAACTTCGATCAGCGCCGGTCATAAGGTAATGTGTGTGTGTGTGTGTGTGTGTGTGTGTGTGTGTGTGTGTGTGTGTGTGTGTGTGTGTGTGTGTGTGTGTGCATGTGCGTGTGTGTATGTGCACTTGTGCCTGTGTGTTTTGTGTTTGTGCAGCACACGGTCATTCACGCTGGACTCGGCTGAACTGCAGAAATCGTTTCGCCGCCTGCAAACTCAGCTGCATCCGGACAAGTTTTCGAATCAACCTCAGGTACACAATTTCCCTCACATGCCATAGCTGGTGAAGAGACCAGCGTGTGGGCTCAGCAATCTCCGGGTCTGTATGACCACTATGCTTACTAAGGGACAGAAAAAACTACAAATCTCAAGCTATTCATCACCATTTGAACAGGCGGCGAGGTTTCTCTAGAATTTCTCTTGAATTTGTTTCGTGACATCTCAATAAAACCTTTGTGAAATGACGCTTCAGCTGGTTCTGTTTGTTATTGCCATCCTTAAAATTCATCACCATCATCATCAATAAGGACTCCGAAAATCATGAACCAGTTTTCGGAGTCCTTATTGATGATGATGGCTATGAATGGCTTGAGATTTTTAGTTTCTTCTGTCCCTGATAAGCTTCCTGTCTCCAAGAAAGTTATTCTTACAAAGAATAGAATTTCTTAGGCAGCAAATGTGTGACAACTGTTACCAGGGTGGTGTCAACGACCACTCCAGGTGGATCCAATGGACTGCAAGAAGCTTTTATCTGTACACCCAGCATTTCATGTCAGGTTACCCAGTTTATTGATATGCATGCGGTTTTCCCACTTGCTAGAGTCATTGGAAGAAGAATTTTAGCTAAAGGGAGAGGCTTATTTCTGTGTGTGTTGCACTGTGTGGTTTCGTGTATGCGTGGTGGCGGTGGTGGTATATGTTTGTGTTTGCTTGTGTGCGTTTGTGCGTGTGTGTGTGTGTGTGTGTGTGTGTGTGTGTGTGTGTGTGTGCACGTGTGTGCATGTGTGTGTGTGTGTGTGTGTGTGCGTGTGTGCGCGTGTGTACGGACTATCTGCACTGGTGTCTATGATCTGTGACTGTCAGCAAGCACAAACCTACTCCGCTGACCAGTCATCACTCGTCAACAATGCATTCCAGACGCTATCATCGCCATTATCCCGCGGCCTCTACATGGTAAGGCAATCAGTGTTTCACCCAGAGTGATATATCGAAGCAATATGACCCCCACCTCCCTACTTCCCTGCTTTTCTTCAACATGTGGTCATCCTTTTGCACGCAAGTTCAGCTAACGCAGCTTGTGCGAGTGTCACCAAACCCTAGTCATGTTCAGGGTACAGTGAAACTCGAATACAGTGAAACTCTAGTGAGACCCCCCTCCCCCCCCCCTCCCCCCCTCCCCCCCCCCTCCCCCCTCCCCCCCCCCTCCCCAAAGTAAATATGTTTTCGCGTCCGATAGAGAACTCACGACTCCCGCTAATGCCGCGAATAACTCCGCTCACTGTGTTCGGTGTTGATTGCACCGCGACGACGACAACTGTTTCTCTTGCTGTCGTGTCCGTGCATTGTACGTCTTTCTCGTGTCCAGCTGCAGCTGGGCAACATGGCCGTGGAGGATGGCACGACATCGACCGACCAGACGTTTCTCATGCACGTCATGGACCTGAACGACTCCCTGGATGCCATCGAGTCGGAGCAGGATCTCACGGAATTCCTGCCCGAGGTTCAAGGTACGGTGGTGAATAAATTGTGCCAATGTGAGCATAACGCGCTTAGCCGCGGGAAAACGATTTTGCTGAGTTTTTGTTTTTTTTGTTTATTTAGAGTCGAAGAACAAACAGGCAAATTTGCCTAATTACATGATATCGACTAAAAAGGAGAATAAAGTATAAAAAAGCCAATGAAGGTAATGACACTGAGTAGAGTGGGTAATGATACTGAGTAGAGTGGGTAATGAAGTATTAAAAGCCAGTTAGGCCAGTAAAGGAAGTGATAATACAGCGGGCAGTGGCATTACTGAAAAGCAGCATGTGCTGAGTGACTTCAGAGTTTTTTCGCTGCGACAAAGGCGTCCGTTGGGGCAGTTTTTACTGTACATCTGTACAAGGGGCATGAGGCATTTGGCTCGTGATAATCTTGGACAATGCAGCGAGTGCGTGCGATGACGCACTTGAATCGATTCGTGAATGGAATCTCGCGCGTTCAAGTCGCTCGATTTTCGTGTCGCAAGCGCCGGAATCGATCTGTGATCGATTCAAACGATTCACGTGGGATGGTGAGAATAGCCAGTGGTGCTTCTGGTTCAACCGGGCAGCGCAGTGGCGGGTAAAGATGCCGCGTGTTGAAATGTCTTCCTTGCCTAGGGAGCGTCTGTTTCGAGCGCTTCATGTTGTTTTAGCTGTTGACAGAAAATCAAACTATTCTTGCTAGTGCAGTTTCTTTTTCTTTTCCCATAATGGACGGTAGCGATCAAGCTCAGGGGCAAGCTCAGTAGCAAGCCAGGGCTTTGCCAAAACCTCTGGACCGAGTCGGAGAGGAGACGCTTCCTTGTTCTCATGGGATGCGAAGACCTTGAGGGAGGCTTTTACCAGAAAATAAAAAGCAAACACATCGGCCGAGCTCGCGCCGTGTGAGATGTTGTGGATTCGCTCACCAAAGAAGGAGTTTCGGTCACAGCTGGCAACTGTAGCGATGAGTGGAAGACGCCGCTGAGTGCCTATCGGCAAGTGGAGGATCACAACTCCAAGTCCGGCAACGATGCGAAGAAAGACTCGCCATTCCATATGGGGGGGGGGGGGATTTTTTTCCAGAAACTGGGGCAATAATAGGCGACCGGGCTTCCATCAGGCCAATGCCCCTTGTTGGTTCTGGTCTTCCCATTGATCACTGTCGCGGTGGACAGTTGCCCAGCGTCCTGCGCAAGTGGATCATCGTCGCCTGGAGGTGCGGAGGATGAAACCGATGCTACATGCATCAGCTTGGTGGAATGGTTGCTGGTTGCATGACAGGTTCACACTGTGATGAGACTGACAGCGACACTCGGTCTCGTTGTGATTCACGCCATTCGATTACTGGAGGAGATTCTGCAAGCTCCGACCATTCACGGATGGATTGAAAGATCGATTCAAGTGCGTAATCGAACGCACTCACTGCGTTATGGCCATGTTCTACCATAATACTTCTCAATTTTGGAAGATTTCCAAATCTACCATAGCTCTCAGTAAAGCGGTATCGGGTACCGAGAAATAGCTTGCCGCTGGAAATCTCTTTTTACTCGACTTGCCTATAGTTATACTTGATCAAATTGCCTGAAGACTGTCTCTGTCCCGTGCATGACGAGGTGGCCGAGTGGTTAAGGCGATGGACTGCTAATCCATTGGGCTCTGCCCGCGTGGGTTCGAATCCCATCTTCGTCGTGGTTGCTCCTTTTTTGGTCTTTTTTGAAAACTATGGAAGTTGTCTTGCATTTTGAATATCTTCCTTGCTGTCATTTTCAATACATTTGGTGGGTCAGAAGGCCCTTTTTCTTTGACTTCAGTATAATGACAAGGTCTTCACAGTATTCATCTTCTAATTCCTCTTGTTTGTTGCCGTTGTTTTGCTGCCATTCTCCTTGTACAGAGCTAATCGAATCCTGCACAGGAAAGGCCGCAGCAGCATTCGAACAAGGTCAGAAGGGGTTTCCCCTCCAGAATGGGAATGTTTGTTGGTGTGTACTGACTTAACTTTACTCACAGCGTAACCTTTCTCACTCAATGTGTTTATGGTCATGAGTGTGCATTTATTATTATTATTATTTATAATATAAGCACGTCCGCTTGCTGGGGCCCCCATTGGATGGAGGTTGCCCAGGTTCGCATGTGCCAAACTGATTATGCCAACGCCTCATGACGAAAACATACAGAGAGAAACAAATCGTTTGTGCATTTGGCACTGTTTATAGCCTTATTCAAACTATTGTATTAAAGCTTGAAACTACTCAATCTGCGGACAGAACTGTTTCGTCCTTTGCGGACTCGTCAGCACAGCACAGAGAAAACGAGGCCGAACCTGATAGCAATGAAAAATAAATGAAGCCTGAAATTATGACCACCTCCACTAAAAAAAAGCCCTGCTGAACCAACTTTGGAAAACAGACTATCTGTTGTGTTCTGAACGTGCTCTCCTGGTATTTTGTTCGTCTGTTCACGTGCAGAAAACCTGGAGGTGGCTCGCGAACAGATCTGTCAGCTGAAGTACTTTGTCAACTTGGAGCGACGCGCCAAGGACAAGCTGCTGGCTGCAGATATAGCTTCGTAGGCTGTGGGACGCGGCAATATCTGTTTGAGAATCCTTACCGTCAGTATACTATGTAGTACACTTGTGCTGGTAACACTCTCAGTTCGGTCAAGTTCAGAGTCCATAGCGTACGGAGCGTCGTGCCGAAGAGAACTGGTGGTCCAGAACGACGTATGCACGCTGTTAACACTCCAGCACTGTTGCCCAGACCTCCTGCGGTCGGTCAGTCGGCCAATCAGCGGCGGTATGGGAGAATCGTTTCCCCACACTCCAGTTCAGGCGTTCCTATCCAAGGCTTCGTTTGAGCGGCATAGACATGACAGTGTAATATTGAGCATTACAGTGAGCAGCGCTGAAGAGCAGTAGGGCTTGAAAACCAGCCCTGCGGTGTGCCTTCTGCATGGCAGACCGTGTATTCACCAATGCAGGCAGACAGACTAGCTTGCAGCATACTGTATGAAGTATGGCAGTCCATCTATTCTTGGTTGTCGTTTTCAACTTATTTAGGTACTGTTACTCAATTGGCTGTAGTCCCTCTGCCGCTGTGACTCAGATGGGCGTATCTGAAGGAGATAATCTCTCTCCCTCTCTCTCTCTCTTTCTCTAACATATCAAGCCCATTCATTTCTGATAGGTGCTTGTGCACAGTTCTCGCCGTGCACTGGACCAACATGAGTCACGTTCTGCACCGCGTGTGAATATTGAATTCCTTGCGCTGGCATGCTCTAGCTATGCCATGCTTTGGTATCGATGACTGCCCACGCGCATATTTATATAAATTTTATTTTAGAATACCAGCATGTGGAAAGTTTCGTTTGCTCTGTTTAGCTCGCAGTTTTGTGATTGACTGTTAGACTGCCCACTTGGTAACCTGATGTGGCACTGCAACATCCAGCACTATGCCGGGACCCACAAGCCAAGGGGGTACAGGACAAAATGTACCTTCATGGGCACGTATGTGGGTGCGTGCCGATGTGCAGGTGAAGTGTGAAGTTTTGCATGGTTACGTGCATGCCCGCGATGAGGCATTCCGCCGCACAATAAAAATATTGACCTCTGAAATCTATCCTCACGGATAGAATAATGCTGTGTGTTACAAACAAGTAACATGGTCCAAACATCACAGACACTCGTTGGCGCAGTTGAGCGCGGCGCTATTTACTTCATGAGGTTAAATTGTACGTGCTTGGAATACACCTGACAGAGACGTCCCCCCCCCCCCCCCCCCCCCCTCTCTCTCTCCCCACGGTTCGGGGTCACGTGCATGAAAAAGAAAGATTTAAAAAAAATTAATACATCAGCTCAAGAGTGTGCACCTGCCCACCTCTATCCATGCAGTACTGCGACCTCAGAACCTCCCATGATGTGGCGTGCTGCTGCCTGCAACCAGTACGAAGTGATTAGAAGAGAATTGAACACAAAGCAAGCTTGTGTGCAGCCCCGTATCTATCATGCACAATGTGCAAATAAGGCGTACAGGTGTATCACGTGATGCCGTTGCAGACCCAAACACGCGACATTGTCTTTTGTAGTAGTTTGCCGCATGCATCGAGCACTTTCCGAGTCGCGACAATGCGCCACGCGAGAGCCGACTCAAATAGCAGGCATTCACGCCGCTCGCGCATGCTACTTCAATGAGCACTCAGTATGTTTGTGTCCATAACCTGCTTGCAGTGACTTACTATAAATACATGTGTCAGCATTGCTAGATTAGTTTTTTTTTAAATGCTAGCAGTTTCCAATAAAAATCAGTCTCAAGTCCGATAATGAAAGCAGATATTTTGCGGCAAGTTTATCGGAAAAAATATTCCTAGTTTCCGAAAAGTGTCCCTATTTGCGACACTTGCTTATGAAGTTGATCAGTTTCATGCGGTGGAAGCGGTTCGAGATGCCAAAGTCATCGCGCAGCATCTCATCGTCCAGCTGCAGGAACAGTTCGCCGGTGACGCCCTCGCGCTGGAACTGCGCACCGTACTGCGACAGGCTGAGATCGTCGAGCTCCTTGATGACGGCGGCTATTCCCCATGCAGCCGGTCCGGTTTTCTTGCTTGCCTTGGCGTCCTTCCCAGCACCGCTTGGGCTCTCCTCGGCAAGAGAATCCCGAGCCAGGGTATCAGCGACGTTAACGCGTACGGCAGGCGTGGAGAAACGTCTCAGACTGGCCGTGGAGCGGAGCTGAGTGCTGCCGCCTCTGCCACCCACTCCGCCGACATTCCCGACCGCCGAGCGACTCCGGTACATGCCCTCCATGCTATGCGAGCTGCCGGGCATGACCTGACGAGATTGCTTGCCAGCCGTCTCACCCTGTGTGCCACTGTCGCCCAGCGTCGCTGTCTCCGAACTCTGGTGCTTTTCTTGTGTTCTGTTCGCGCCGGCTGTAGTCCTTTTGGCGCCCGGTACTTCGAGCTTGGCGCCGAAACCGGACTGCTGCATTCCCTCCGGGGGCGTGCGCTTGGGCAGGATCGGTGTACTCGGTGTGGCGCAGACGGACGACAGCGAACCCTCGGCCTGGGGTCCTATGACCCGCAGGTCGGTGTCCGCCAGGGACTCCAGGACGGCGTGCATGCACAGCTTGAGATCGCTGCCGCGCAGCTCGCTGCGCTGCACTTGCACTCGCGTTGCCATGGACACAGGGATGCGGAAGAACGTGCCCTCGCCCAGCTCTATGCCGACCAGCCATTGCGTGTCAGTCAGGCCTATGATGCTGTAGATCGGCAATGTCGTCGTGGGGGATTTCCCTTCCTCCTGCACAATATCCACTGGCTTCACGCGCAAGGGGAACGAGAGTTTTCCAGCCTGGGTCATGTCCACGATCTCCTGCAGATGGTGCTTGCGTGGGTCGACCACTGTGTCGAAAGCCACGCCACTACCCAGCTTGTCTACCAGCGGGATGAGGACCTTGGTGCGTTTGCGCTGCGCAATGGGAGTGCTCCCGCTGTCCCCGGAGGCTAGGCGGTACCAGATGGCGCATTTCTCACCGTCTTCGTTCTCCACTGTGTCCTTGGTGACATACAGAATCTCGTCCGTGCTCAAACCTTCCTCCGCGCTGAACAGAAATCCTCGACACGTTCGCAAGTACTCTGGTCGCTGTCCATCCGGCAGTCGAACCACTTCGTCTGCCGAGTGATACACCACGTTGTCCAGCCACGGCTTGTCCGCCTGCAGCAGCAAGAACTTGCAGCGCTGGAACGGTAGCGACTCCTCGAAATCGCCGCCAGTGTCATCCGTCATTTGTACCGATTGGTTTCCCTGTAGACCCACCAGCAACACTCGACTGCCGGTCTTCAGCGACTCCTGATCCTTCCAGCCTTTGAAGCCCTCCACTACGTCCACGCTCGATGGCAGCGTAGTGTCCGGCTCTTTGAAGAACTGCTCCAGTGTTCCAGCGGAACTGGCGGACGAAGATGCCTGCTCGTCGTCGGAATCCATCCTTTCTGTTCTTGACGCAATCAGGAATGACTATTGCCTCTCAATCGAACGCAGAGATATCCGAATTAATTTTGTTGGGATGAAGGATTCGCAGCTGGGAGGTGGTCAAGCTGAGGGTCGTTGTCACAGTGGCTCAATGGCGAGAATTTGAATTCGAAACAGTTCTACTACGCCACGACGAGATCTCGAGAGCAGATGCATCAAGTCATTCGCAGCGGATTAGTTTTTTGTTGGGCCACTAGCGTTTGCCAATCCAGCCAGTCCTGGCACAAGGCAACGCGATACAACGGAACGAGGACCTCCAGACGAAAACCATGAAAATACTGGTTGAAGCCCTTCAGAACATTCAGATTTTTCTGCTGTTGATCGGACCAACTAAACCTACTCGCTGGCGTCGCTCGCTTTCTAGACTAGGGAGGGACGCACGTCGTGTTAGTGAACGGTATAATGGATTGTGCGTCATAACAACACTACAAAGCAGCGGCTGAGCAATCTGCTTCTCAAGAACTCCGGGACCAACGGGAGCCGTGCCCACTACTAGTAGTACTAGTAAAAGCCGTCACGACATGTAGTCTGTCAACGACCAAGAAAGGGCTGGGCAGGAGCATGTTCCCGGCTGAGAACCTGTCAATGTTTGCTGTCAATGGCACTGTGTAGTTCTGCCTGCAGGAGAGATTGGGCACCATGCTCAAAACTAGCTTCAACTAATACTAAGTCTTGTCAATGTTTAGCTTGGCCAGGATGAGACTTCAGAGCTTGAACAGGTCACCCTAGCGCTGGAGAACACTAGATGCGGTGCCTGTCAAAACTCGAGTCAAAACCTTGCCGCCGTCGGGTCACGATCTCGGCACACACAGCCAGGGTACAGTTGAATGTACAGTCAGTGTATATGTAGCTTCCCCCTCCCCACAAGAAGTTGTTATTCGGAGGTTATGCGAAAGAACTCAAAGAAGTCATTGGGCGCTTTCGATTACACGTTTACACAATTCTGGAACTGGTGTTTTTAATTCTGGAATGACCAGAATGAGCGGATTCCGGCCTTGTAAACGAACGACTGGAATTCACAACGCATTTTATTCATGTCATGTCACAAACAAAATAGATGAATCGTAAAAAGAGATCACGTACACCCTCGCGCGCACGTGAGCCCAGCATCGCGCACACGCCGGCCAGGGAGGCTCTTCGCGCACTTGAGTCATGACCAGACCGGTAACACACCGACAGCTGTGCAATTCTGGCGCCAGAGTTAGAGAAATTCCGCCCTCTCTTCAGAATTGACGGATTCGACGGAATTGGATAAAATCAATTTTAACGACGGAATTTGTCACTTTTTGTGTAATCGAACTGTGCATCAACAATAACTAGTTCTAGAATTGACCGAAATGCGTGTAATCGAAAGTGCCCATTAATATGATCAGCAAGTGAAATTCCGGAACCCCTTTCAGCCGCTATTTCAAGTATACAGCGGAACCTCTTCTGGGCGCTATGTATAATTGTATAGAGAGTAATTTTACAAAACTGGAAAGAGGTGGTTTAAAAAAAGGCAAAATGAGTGCTTTGAACTGGTAAAGTACTTTCTAATTGTCCGCAGTAAAATACAGCTTTGAACTACAGTCAACTTCGCTAATAACGACTGCGGATATAACGACAATTCGCGAATAACGACCGAATTTCCATGCCCAGAGCAAAGTCCCATCTAACTGTATACATTTAACTTCGGATATAACGACTATCTGAATAACGACAATTCGCGTATAGCGACATGCTTTTAGTGCCCCGTGGTCATATTCACTGCTTGAATAACGACTTTCTGGGCTTTTGACAGCTATTTCAAGTACCTGTCAGTCAAGTACATGTACCTGTCATGCAGAAGTACCAGAACCTATGCAGGCTATGGTGATAAAAGGCACACATGCAAGAAAATGCAGCCAAGGGGGGGGGGCTTTTTTTCCTTTTATAATGTTGGCTTCAAAGTTGTTGGATTTACCAGCACACCTATATTATGTATACAATGTACATGTAGTTGTACATGATTGTACAGTAATCATCATACATGTCTCTGGCCCTGTAGATGGCTCAAAAAGGCATATTTTTCAATTCATTTCCCTTGCATATTGAATTTTTAGTTCCTTGCAACTGCAATATGAAAATAAAGTACACATTGACATAGAGCAAGACAAGAGCTTGATTTTGATATGCATATCATACTATACAAAATATGGGTTCACATACATTCAAATGGGACTTCGGTTATAAGGACACTTCGCGAATAAGGACACTTTTCTGATGCCCCGCCGAATGTCGTTATTGGCGAAGTTGACTGTAGTTCTGAAAGGAGAGGGGAATGCCTGTGCAGTATGCTGTTTAATGGAGTTTCAAGAGTGTTCCTACTCTCACAGTACAGTTGTGTGACCATTGCACAGAGCTGGCAAAAGAAATCCTATCTTATGAAATAACATCGGGTGCTACTCAGCCCCTAGCACTATACTACACATACTGGTCTGTGCACTCGAACGCGACGCTACTCTACTCATGAGGTTGGACTTCCCTGCATGGCCAGCACTGTACAATCCACAAGTGTGCTAGTCCAGCTTCATTTCATCCACGACGTTGCCCTCGTCGGAGAGCCGCTGAATCTTAACCGTGGTGCGGCCGTCGGGGTTGTTGCCAAAGGTGACGAGATCGTGTTGCCCCGGCAACACAACGTCGACGGTGTTCTTCTGCTTGTCGTAGTTGGTGATGGGCAGGGGGATATCGTCGGTGAATGGGAACAGCATCACCTTGAAGCTGGGCACCACGGCACGTGTAGACACGACGATACGACGACCGAGCCCGCCGACGGTATTAAACAAACGCGCCGGGTGCAGGTAACCATGCGAAGCACCGATGGTGCGGAGATTGTAGTTCTCGTGTCGTAGCGCCGTGACACTGGAGTAGTCGTCCGGCGGACTGTAGTCGAGAACGCGTATGAGCAGACCGCGGCTGCCCCCACCGGGAGGACTGCCAGCATCCATGAGTATCGCGTCCGTTGCGTTGAACTCCACAAGTTCGACGTCGTCCGGTGTCTGCATCAGCCACTCCCAGAGATGCACGCCGTCGTCCTTCTTGGCATCGTCCAGGACCATGGCGTAGGGGAACTTGCCGCGGACGAGCCCTGCCGTGCGGAACACGTACTCCATCGGGTTGTACTGGGCACGGGAGCAGTTCTGGGCGAGGTTGGGAGGCGCGAAGTTGGGCGTTATCGGGTCGACCAGGTCGTGCACGTTCATCTTCATCCAGTCGTCAGTCCTTGGCGTGATCACAAAGTCGTTCGGCGTTACGAATGTGTCGTTCTCCAAGTCCAGATGGGAGGTGTAGCGTGTCCACATCCAAGTGTAGCTGTACGTCAGGTTAGTAGCTGCAAATGTAGCGAGAGACGTGTCTGCGAACTCTTCTCCCTTACCCGCCGGCGTACCCCAATCCGAACCCCTGTAGTTGACCGGAACCGATGCCCTGCCGTCGACCAGGAGCACGGAGTGCTTGCGTGACTGCTGGTAGTTGCCCACCGTGAACGGGAACGCATCGGAGCCGTCGTCCCCGGGCGGGTACTGCGCCCAGGTCCTGCCCCAGGCCGACAGCATGAACGTCCCGCGGTCCGGGTGATAGTGCCCGCCGGCCCAGCGCTGGTCGCTGCGCCACTGGAACGCAAACCAGGTGGCGTTCTGCGACCACTGGTCGCGCGCCACCATCAGGCCGCGATCGTCGCAGAAGAACGTCAAGTTGGCGTCCAGTGCCTGCGCGGCCGTGTCGAAGTCCTCTGGTCCACTCCAGTCCTGCGCGTAGATGGCCACGCTCATCGGGACGTGCGTGAACTGAGAGTTTCCCGTGTGCGGGTAGCCGAGGTCGCTAAACTGTGCAACAGCTGTGGCATTGTTCCACGCGTTGCGCCACACAAAGTCCACGACGGGATCGTCCGGGTAGAAGTACTTGGCCGGCGCCAGATCATAGACCCTGGCCAGGTTGTCCGAGCCGCCCCAGTTGTCGACCATGGTGAATGCATAACCAAACGGCTGCATCATGTTCAGGTAGAAGCTGCGCACGTGATTGACGAAGTGCGGGTGCTGCAGCAGCTCGCTGCCGCGGCGATCGAACGCGGCGAACCTCTCGACGTGCAGGTAGTTCTTGCCCATGCCCTCGTGTGTGGCTCCGGAGGCATGCACGCCGCACTCCAGGAAGTTCGTCATGGTCACGGTGTTGCGAGCGAGCACTGCCGCGTCGTAGCCCTCCTCGCCCTCGATAGACAGCAGCATGGTTGTCATGAACTGATGCATTGACACCCAGTTGCTCGTCACCGCGTAGCACGGCTTGCCGTTGCCCACGATGAAGTGCTTCGCCGTGGCCGTGGCGATCAACTTGCGCACCACCGCCTTCTCGCTCTCGTCCATAGCGTTTGCCAGGAAGTCGTAGGACATACCGATGCAGTCGTTGGCTATTAGCATATAGATGCTCTGGAAGTTCATCTCTTCCACGCACGGCCGTCCGCCGCAGTCAGTCCGCTCCAGGAACTTCTGCGCAATGTTGGCCAAGGCGACCAGGCCGGTGCCGAGGGTCTTGGCCCTGCCCGTGTCTGCCGTTACCAAGGCGATGAACGAGTCGTACAGCAGTGTGGAGCCCAGCGACGTCAGGCAGAACGAGCTGGGCCCGCAGTAGCCGGAGCCGTTGATGGCAGCGACCATGGCGTCCGTGTCATTGCCTGCGAGCATCTCAGCGTACAGCATTGGCAATGGGCCTGCATTGGTCAAACCTGTGGATTCAAACACAGTAACAGAGGTCAGTGGATCACATACTTTCAACCGCACACCATGCACATTAACTTAACATAACATGTATGTTTTTCGGATCGCAAAACAAACGGACAATCATGCCCAATGTTCTGATGACGATGGAAAGGGAGAAAAGATAAAACATCTTTAGAAAGATATTAAACCTGGACAAGTGGAGTGAGGGGGGGGGGGGGGGGGGGGGAGTGCATTGACCAGCATCTCATAATGCAAACTAAAGTTTAGAAATCAAGTGGCCTTAGCTTCGGCATTCCCATGGTTACACTGAGCTTACTTTTATTTGTCCGCATGGCAACGCCCTCGGTGATGGCTTGCCATGCCCACTTGCCCACCTTGGTGGTCTGGAGGCGATGCAGTATGTCCGGCACATCTTCAGGGCTGAACAGCACACGCGGGTGAACACCCGGTGCTGGCGGCTTGCTCAGACGGTCCTGCAGCAGCCAGTACAAACATGGACAAACCCAGCCTCAAACACCACCACACATAACACAATGGCTATTTACCTCAAATGATTCTTCACTTTCGGTATCACATTTCGTGAATTGAACAATAAAGATGACGTACTACTACCACAAATAACACACACTATACTAGTCCAAGCAAGGACAAGCCCAGCCTCAAACACATGTACCACCGCTAGGCATTGGCGGATAATGCTTGAAAAGGTGGCAGATTCTGCTCGAATAGCAGTGAAATTGGCAGAACCATACAAACCTTATGGCGGACAATTCCTGGAATTCTGCTCCACTTCTTTATCCACATACCAAACATGCATGAAACTTACCAGAAAAAGTACCGAATTCTGCCAATTTTTCTGCCGGCATTATCCGCATATGCCTAGCCTGGAACCCCTCTGTTTCTAACCGTGATAACTATACTGCAGTTGCGCTCGGTGAAATACGACCCGGAGTGCGCATCTGGTGACCTCGATTTGCATGACCCTTGACGCCCGGGAAGTGGCACTGTGGATGTGGCTGGCCCGGATGTCCACACATTACATGTGCAAGCACAACGATGTAATCAGAATCAATGGATACAGGGTGCCTGTTTTGCACTTTGGGTCGGATTTCACCTGGTGCAACTGCAGAATGCAAGCGTACTTTAATGCGAGGAGCTAGGATATTCCATTGGGTGCAAACCTGGTTCATCCCACCTCTCCAAAAGCAGTGCAGTCTACGTCTTAGCTCAGTGTGAGCATGCAGCCCCGAATCGAATTTTACCCAAGTATTAAACGCATGCCCTTGTATGATAGGGCTTCGAAACATCTCAGTTTCAGTTCACCATTCATTCTCGGTTTCCAGGGATGCATCGTGACCTGCTTGCACGAGGAGAGTAACAGTTACTAGATCTGCTCCCTGCTGGCTAAAGCGGAACATCTCCCTGTTCGCCTGATCGCGGAAGCGGAACCTCGCTAGCAAACACCGATAAGAACAGCGTTTGCTTTAGAAGAAACCAGCACCACTCCCAGGATAGTATTCATGGCTCGGGGTCTACTACTGTACTAGTTTAATAATTATAATTCACTGTGTACTGATAAAGCGAACTCCCGGTATTGCGTACAAACAATCTGTCCCTCCGTTTTCGCCCTGATCTTGGTTGCGTTGATGTCTTACACTGGATTTCGTCTGATTGCGGGATGGTTATTAGGACTTCTGTGCATGTGTGCATCGCACCGCAGAGGTCATCAAAATAAGACACAGTTTTACTCCCCACACGCTGATTACATTTCACGCGTAGCTCACCTTGGCAAACTTCGGAGCAGCCTGTGCGGAGCAATGATCGGTCACCATCGCCCACGCGACAACCGAAGCGACCAGCAGCATGGTAGTCGACATAGCTGAACCTCGAGAAGATTCAAAGACACTCATGATCGCGATTCGTCTACCAGTGCCCAAGAAGAGCAGAACGATTCATTTTACTGAAGGAAATTATTGTCATATCTTCGATCAAATCCGTGTAGACGATGGTGAGGGCTGAAATTTCTCTGAGGCTCAGTCGTCTTGCTGTCAATGTCATTGTCAATGACTGATGTCAATGCAGTGAGCACTCATGATTTTAGCGCCAGTAGCCGGGCTGGCGAAGGAGCCAAGCGAGGAGCGACTGTGCCGTGGGTTCAGATCACAGATCTACTGGGTGAGTTATTGCGGATGATACTGAAGCTGGGAGGGTGAATGATAGGACGCCATCCGGGCTCCGATTCTGCCTCAGCCTTAGGAATAGGAGTACAAGTGCTGCCTCGGTCAAGCTGCCCCTGCCTCTCCCCCACTCCTGCCATTCCATATGTCTCATCGCTGCCTTGCTGCTTTGTGCCGTCAAATGGTGTGTGTGTGTGTTTT